AATGTGATGCAGAAGCTAAAAGATGAGATAAGGAATGTGGTTAATGGTAGAACTCGCATAACTGAGGAAGATTTAAACAGCATGCCTTATTTGAAAGCAGTGATTAAAGAAAGTTTTCGATTACATCCCCCAGTTCCCCTTTTGCTTCCAAGGGAATCCATGGAAGATGCCAAAGTGATGGACTATGACATTGCAGCAGGCACAGAAATAATAGTGAATGCATGGGCAATAGCAAGAGATCCTTGTTACTGGGAAAATCCTGAAGAGTTTGAAGCAGAAAGATTCTTAAAGAGTTCAATAGATGTGAAAGGACATGATTTTGAAGTGATACCATTTGGAGCAGGAAGAAGGGGTTGTCCAGGAATAATGTTTGCCATGAATGTGATTGAGTTGGTCATAGCAAACCTTGTTCATCAGTTTAATTGGGAAGTGCCAAGTGGAGTAGTGGGAGATCAGACACTCGACGTGACTGAAACTGCAGGGTTGACCAGTCATAGAAAATTTCCTATCATAGCATTTGCGTCCTACCATGCATAAGTTGATGTTAAAGATAAACATAAACATAGTAACTTGAAAGAAAAATAAGGGACTATATTCTCAACATTCATAGCAAAATCTAGGGTTATAATAGGTCGGTTTATCTAGTTATTGTTATTTTGTTATTGCAACTATTTGTTGTCGTCAATTTTTACGTGTAAATCATATGTACGTAATGTTTGATTAAGTGATCTTTCTAATTCTATTTTCCAAAATTGGGTGAAATCTCTCTCAAGGGAAGTTTTCTTTTCTGCACAAAGGATGACTTAGCTTCCTTCACTTCAATAATTTTACAACCCTCCTGATTCTACAAGTCGATAAAGGCAAATTTTCCACCAGGAAAAATACCAAGCATGACATTTCTGAAACTTTAGGTTTAGATATTACATTGTATATCAAAGGTCTGTTTCTTCATGCACCCATCAAATTTGAGCACTGCACCCCATCATTCTATATTTATTTTCTGTAACACACTAAATCATCAATTTTGAAAATATTTTTCTGGAAGGCACTGGTCCACTTTTCAGGAAAACATTCATTCACTCTTATTCTGAAAAACATTTTCTGGAAGCTCTGATGAGCTGCAGAAAAAAAAAATTGATAAAATTGATAAGGTGTGGGAAGCAAATGAGAAGTGACACCGGGATTACAAACCAAAGACAAAATTTGTTTCCAGTGTAATAGGAATTTTGGTGTTGTATTCTGCTATAGAATTTTTCTAGAAAGTACATATAGTGTAAAGGGTAAGTTAATCATGTTTTATATCTAGAAGAGATAAATTAGTGTAGAGAAAGGGTTAATAAGTAAATGCAGAGATTGGTTTCATTCTCAAAGTCGTCTGATAGAAAAAAAAATGTTGTGGTTGCAAGAAATTTTATTATTGTATGAAAAATGAGCAGACATATTATAATGATGGTTCATATAATTCAATCATTAGAGTTGATTGAATACTAACATGGGAAAAAGATTCACCATGTTGATAAGAATGGTTGTATGATAGGGGTTGCCCATGCTCTAATATAAAAAATAAAAAATCATTAAGTAACAATAAATATATGCATTAGTCATGTATAATATGTTAAATATGTTATGGCATATAGTAGTGTCATCCAAATAGTTAGTTTGCTCGAACCCAATTTCTTGAATTGGAGAATTATGTTAAACATTTCACATCAACATTTCCTATTTATGGTATTGTTGAAACCTAAATTATCGCAATGTAAAGGGTAAGTTAATGATGTTTTATATGTAGAGATAGATCAAGTAGGGAAAGGGTTAATAAGTAAATGTAGAGATTGATTTAATTGTGTAATGAAAAAATGTTATAGGCGCAAGAAATTTGTTAGTATGAAAATTGAGCATACATATTATAACGATGGTTCATATTTTGGGTTGATACTAGCAAAAACATTTCTAAAATAAATAAGTTCTAACCCATGTCAAATGTGTACGAAAATAATAGCAAAGCACATGAAGTATATCTAAAAGTAAACCAACTCCTTAAACTATTACGAAAAACACCATCTAATTTTAAAGTAGTATGGTCTAATTCAAAAATTTCAATGTCTAATATATTTTTTCAGAGTAGCAGAATTACTATAACTTTATTAAGCTCACCACCATAGATTTAATAGTTACACCTGCATGTGTTAGGATATCAAGAAAAAGATTCAATTAGTTGTTTTTAATGATGTCCAAGGAGAGGTGTTTGTTTTTAAATAGATCAACACTAGTCTTATGTGTTTTAACATATGTTTGCAAAGCCAAGAAAAAACCCTCTTAATATATCTTAATAAGATAATAATTGATTAATCTAAATCTAGACATGTTCTTAATCAAATTCAAAAGATAAATGTAAAACCTGACAATTTAAGTCGATTAAGTCACTTATATAATCGATTAATCTGGCAAGTTTTAAAAATGTGATTAATGCATACTAATCGATTAAGTCATTAATATAATCGATTGATCTTGACCGTTACTTAATTTTTCTTTAAATATTGCATCTTCTCTCTTTTTATTTTAACACTTTGAAATCCTATAAGATCAACCGGAAGTATATGAGAGAGTTTTAAGCATTTCATTTTTGTAGAAAACGTTTTTATTCAAACAGATTAAAAGATTGAAGTAGTTTTCTCTTGGCTATAGGTTTTGATTATAATAGCTTCATACAAGTGATATATTTCTTGTATCTTTGTTCTATAATTTCATTCCTTATATTATTATTCACTTTTGTGTAGAAGATTGTGGTGATTGTGTGAAGTATTACCTATTCTTTGTAAGGTTATAGTGATTGTGTAAAGCATCCCTAATCTTTTGTTTTTTTGAAAGGTTTCTTCAAAATTTTGTTGAGATATTGATTTTAGGATTTTGTAGGTATGTTTGTAATTTGAAACTTTTGATCTTTAGTGGAATTTCTATCTAAGATTACTAAACAAACTAGATATAAGTTCATTAGAATTGAATCTATATAAAAATTCTTATATCTTCTCTTTTTCTTTTTATAAATCTTCAAATATCTAATAACCCAAAGTACATGTCGTTAAAGACATATATATTAATTATTCATTGCATTACCATATAAGCTTAGCCACATGTTTATATTGGAGATTCAATGATATCACACGTAAGTTGTTGATTAAGTATCACTTTAAAAAAATCTACAACATATGTAAAAAATTACAAACATCTTACGAGTCAAAAATAAAATTTTAGAGAGATACAAACTCATTATAACTTACAACACACCTAATGGGAACTTGTTGAGAATGAATTAGACACAAACTTGGGAGACAATAGTCAAGCATAGATAATTGAAAGAAAAAGTTTCGATTGATATTAAGATAAAGGCTTAATTACCTACTTAGTTCCCATGTTAAGAGGTAATTTTCTGTTTAGTACCCGGTTTTAAAAATGTAGGCATTTGGTACCTATGTTTTGAAATTTGTATCAATTCAATCCTATCCGTTATATTATAAGTAACGGCGTTAACTGTTTAGTACCCGGTTTTAAAAATGTAGGCATTTGGTACCTATGTTTTGAAATTTGTATCAATTCAATCCTATCCAGTTAACGGCGTTATAATTGATGCGAGAAATTAAGAACGTTAATGAAGATGCATTCAAACATTTGATAGCTATTCCACCCAGACTATCATTAACGTCCTTAATTTCTCGCATCAATTATAACGCCGTTAACTGGATAGGATTGAATTGATACAAATTTCAAAACATAGGTACCAAATGCCTACATTTTTAAAACTGGGTACTAAACAGAAAATTACTTCCTAACATGGGGACTAAGTAGGTAATTAAGCCTAAGATAAACTAGTAAAGGTCTCTTAGACACAAAAGCTAAGTGTATAATTAAATGTGCTCAAGCTTTAAATTCATCCACGTATATATTCTACCATTTATACTTTCTAAAACTTTGAACTTGAATTTAGTAATAATCAATGTAAGGAAATCACCTATTGAATAAAATAAAAAATACTCAAAAACACGTCAATGGTTTTAGCTTGCAGTGAAGTTGCACCATGTTGAAAATTTTATTTGAATATAAGTTGTGCATCACATATATGACTTTTATTATATAGAAGTCATATAAGATATGAATGACCCTATATAGAAGTCATCAACCACAGTCGTGACTCTAACTTTTTCATTACACTCATTATTTGCACTGAAGTCATGGACCTAGGCCATGATTTTTCCTTTTTAATTTATTTTTTTACTAAAAACAGTATACTCGTAGATGAGTACTTGGGATATTCTCATCCGTATATACAAACATAAAAAAATTATATACTAGAAAGGTAAAATATCATGTGATGAAAAGGACAACAAAGTCATCCCAAGTTATCAAACATATTTGGTGATATTTCACATGAAATGACCAATGCAAACATTAACATAGTTATATTTGCACAAATTTACGCAATAATATGGATTATGCTAATTTATGCACACATACACCTATAAGTTATAAGCCAAAGATGGACATATCGAAATTTCCTCCCTAATTAATTTTTTTAACATTTACCAATGACACGTGTCGGGTGGAACAAGAAATCCTAATATTAGGGTATCTTGACATTAAATATTTAGGATTAATTACATTAAAAGTGTTACATAAATGCCAGAAATGAATTTATATTGGACATATGATAAAGTTCCATATAAAATTCCATTTTTCTGGTTTTTTTCTCTTCATTTATATATTTTTTTTTTCTCAATGGCTCAATTAGATGATAAAAAATGTATGAATGTTGTAGTATATTTTCAAATGGTGAAGTAGTAACTTCTTATGTTGTCTGACATATAACCTCTATCTAATATTTTATTATATTATATCAATATTTATTAATGAAATATCTAATTTATAAAACAATAATATTTTTATGATGAAAATAATTTATAATTTATTATGTTAACAATTTTAATATATATTATTTTAATTTGGATTTATACAATAATAATTATATATTTATCATGTTTTTAAGAATTATTATATATTTTTTAATATATATTACATTATCATATCTAATTAATTTCAACATAAACGTAATTGTGCGTCATGATATGTTAGTGACCTTGTTGATGACTCTCTTTAGTGAAGACAGGTGGTAACAGTGTCATCTTGTGTTTGTAAGCCTCCAACCTAACTCATAAAACTCATACATGATGTCAGTTTCAATTATACAGCAGAAATATAGAAAAGTTACATCAATGACATACTTGGATCTATGCTTTAATAGAATTAGGGATGATAAGGTCGGTTCGAACACGGATAGTGTTTATATACAATCCAATCCATGAAAAAAAAATCGATTTACAACTCGTCTGTTACCTGTACGAGTATTTGTTTAGAACATACTCAAGGATATTTTAAAACCGTTACTACTCGTAGATATCCACAAAAAATTAAAAAATATATTTTATATATTTTTTAAATAAAATTTAAATAAAATTATAAAAAAAAATATAATATAATATAATATAAATTAAATTAAATATAAATTAAATTTTAATTTTAATTAAATTTATTTAACCTAATAAAATATAAATTAATTTTATTTTAATTAAATTTAATTTAAAAAATAAAAATTAATATCTTTTTAATTATTTTTTGCGTGTAATGGATACGTGGATAGTTTAATACTCACACTCGACCCGTTTAGAAGAGGGTTTTAAAATA